GGCACACGTCGGATGGTCGGACGGCGCACGTCGGATGGTCGGACGGCACAAGTCGGATGGTCGGACGGCACACGTCGGAGGACACAACGTCGGATGACAGACGTCGGACAAAGTGCTGCCAAGTCCAATGCTCGAAGGCGTATAGTTTAACTTCAACAGGGCTATTCATGAATTATCTAACATACGTGAACTATCAAACATACGTGAACAGGTTGCTATCTGTTTGGCTGTAAATGAAAGGAGACCACATGAACTGTCACGACCAGACCCATGATCAAATCGTAACGTGCTGATCCTATCAAAGAACTATTTGTATGCAAATTAACTTAGTTTCAATTTTACTAATATTCCACTTTAATTTCACATTAAATTCCACACTAAATTTCAAACATATTCACTTAAACTAAGGCCTCTAAATCTAAGGAAGCGACCGGAACCGTGACCGGCTAGGTCGACTTCAACAACACAAGTGAAGACTAAGGCGCGACCGGCAGAAGTCGGCTACGCCGCTGCTTATGGTCACGTCACATGCACATGGGTTGCATCGTTTTAGACACCTGCACCGTCCACGACCTTCAGTCTTGGTCGCGCTACAACGACATGCGGAATACAAGGGCCTCCGCGCTCAACTGACTCCACATCCGCCGCGCTCGCCTTATATAGCCCCGATTACGCGTAGACCCGCACTCGGTTGGCGTCGCTTGAATGTTCGTGACGACATGTGTTTTTCCCATAAGTCCTAGTTTCCTATTTTTGTTTATGATTTATTCCTATTCCTAATCATGCTGCCCTCCCTACATTTCTTTTGCCCATACTTCCACCCCCTCTCTGAAGCATTAATTTCAAAAATAGTTGAGAATTTTCAGTTGTATCAGCCAATTAGTCACGAGTTTTAAAGCTAAACTTACTAATCACAGTTGATAAATCGGCTGCTATGTTCACCTTAGAAAGATTTGATAGAATGTCTCTTGATCACGTCACCTCAAGTGACATAGCCTGACAGTCGCTGGTGCCGCAGGTCTGTGCTGCAGAGCGCTGTACCGTCGCTGGTGTCGGTGCTGGAGAAGGAGGCCAGGGGCTGGTTCCTGCACTTCAGGGAGAAAACCATCGCCTGCCTCAGGGCCGACGGCCTCACCGACACCCAAGTTGAGAAGGTGCGACGCTATCTTCTTAATCAGTAGAGTATTACATTTGTTCACTATCTTTTTCATCAGTAGAACATGACATTTCTTTGCTATCTTTTTCATCAGTAGAACATGACATTTCTTTGCTATCTTTTTCATCAGTAGAGCGTGACATTTGTTGACCCAAGTTTACTTTATGGGTACATTATGGTACACTGTCCTCGGCATATTAGATGTCATTGCTCAGTGCAATGTCCTCTAAATTGAAAATTAATAACTGTGGAGAATATGTTACTCTTCCGTTATTCATTGCTCTGTTCATTCTGGTTAACAGCCGTAAGTCAATCTGAAGAAAAATGTATAAAATAATAAAAATATCCAGATGAGATTGTTTCTACTGGTACATGTACAGGCTAGGACAGAGCCGGTGCAGAAGGAGGTCAATCCGAAGAAAAATATATAAAATTTTATTAAAAATATCCAGATGAGATTGTTTCTACCGATATATGTGCGAAATTTGTAAAAAATATCTAGATGAGATTGTATCTACTGGTTTATGTACAGGCAGCGACGGAGGCGGTGCAGCAGGAGTACCTACGTCGTGTGTGCGAGGCCATCAGGAACCACGCGGAGCTGAGCCAGCTCACAGGGCCTGGTACAGACGTCCTGCTGTGTGACCAGCTCACTGCTGCCTCCCTCATGCTCAGGTTACTACTTGCTTTTAGTTCTTCATTTATTCTCTATATGATTAATTTTTACTGCAATTTTTACGTTGAAATCGTCACATTTACTGCTTATATTAGATGGTTTTAGATGGACATTTTCCACAATTTCTTGTCACTGCTGCCTCCCTCATGCTCAGTTTACTCTTTGCTTTTTGTTCTTGATTTCTTCTCAATATGCTTAAGTTTTTTACCGCAATTCCCACATTAAATTCATCGTATTTACTGCTCATTTTTCATGGGCATCTTTCCACAATTTCTTGTCACCTCCGCCTCCCTCATGCTCAGGTTAGTCCATGCTTGTTGTTCTTGATTTTTTTCTTAACATTTTTAATTTTTTACCGCAATTTGTTTCGTTGAAATCGTCATATTTACTGAGCATTTTAGATGGGCTACTTTCCACAATTTATTCTCAACTGGTGTTACTATGGGAAATTGAGTGTTGCCAACAATAATTTAGTCGGAAATTTTGCTTGTGCGTTCAGGCAAGACTTTATTACTTTTTTAACGCAAGACTATTAATTTTCCTTGCGCGTTTAGTACTTTAAAAGTTAATAAAACGCCGAGCAAATTCTCTTTATCGTCATTGATGCCATTGAATGATATCTTATCCTTGTTTTCCTTTAGTTCTTCAACTGATGGTCTCTGAAACATTTTTAATGAAGCTTATGTGAATTTTCTTGGCGTTTTCCCATAGCTTTCAAGTTTTTGGTTAATTTGCCTTTACCGAGAAAAAAATTATTTAAATGTATCTTGCGTTTGACCTTAGACTAATTAATAATTGCACCCGCGAAGGTTTAGTCGTTGCATTAGTGGTCTAAATTTATGTATGTTTATACTTTTACATTCATTATTTTTTCATGTGAATTTATTTCTGTATGTACAATTTGCTATGCCTTCTTTCATGTCCTGCTTACTTGGTTTCACTGAAAAAGTGTTTCCTACGTGTACAATTTACCTTGTTCCAATTTACACAATTAGATATATTCCTTCTTTTCCTATCATTTATATTAATCCAATTTGCTGCCTAAATCGGATTTATTTTATTTATTAATCCAATTTGATGCCTAAATCTGATTCATTGTATTTATTAATCCAATTCGACGTGTAAATCCGATTCATTGTATTTATTAGTCCAATTTGATGCGTAAATCTGATTTGTAGTATTTAATGATCCAATTTGATGCCTTAACCTAATTTATCATATTTATTAGTCAAAAATTTGATGCGTAAATCTAATTAATTGTATTTCTTAATCCAATTCGATGCCTAAATCTGATTCATTGTATTTATTAATGCAATTTGATGCGTAAATCTGATTTGTTGCATATATTTATTTAATCTATTGCCTTAATCTGATTTGTCATATATATTTATCTAATCTATTGCCTAAATCTGATATATCGTTTATATTTATCTAATGTATTGGCTATAACACAGAGCAAGTCGTGCAGCAGAGGATAGTTTTAACGCAGCCCTCCGTCAGTACGAGCAAGAGCTGCGTGAACGTCATCCGCTGCTGTCACGGGTGTCGTCCTGGCGACGTCAGCAGCTGCAGGATAGGACTAAACTCCTGCAGGAGCAGTTCAAGTGGCAACCTCACACCCAGGTTCAGTTTTAAATAATAATAATTGCTTATAATAGTATGCCCTTCTGCTTAATAATAATAAAATAATGAGGATAATAATATAATAGTAATGATAATAATAATATTTGGTAATAATAATAGTTATTCTCTTCTGCATAATAATAATAATAATAATGGTAATAAAATAATGAGGATAATAATGATATGTGCTAATAATATTTTGTTATTTTGCATATTATTATCTTTATTATTCTACAAAGTTATTGTCATGACGCCGGGTACAAATTGGACTTGTTTTCCCATTTATGGAAAAAATGCACTACTGTGCTCGCCATGTCCGTCTGTCCATCCGTCTGCCCGTCTCTGTCTGTCTGTCCGTCTGTCTGTCCGTCTGCCCCTCTGTCTGTCCGTCCGTCCGTGACTTCACGTTTTCGTATACGAGAAAATGCGCCCTCCAAAAATTTGCATATCCAATGCTTCCCATAACTTGAAAGTAAATGTTGTCACATTCAAAACATTATTGGTAACTTAAAATTACTTTGTCACTCACTGCAGTGAGTACTGAGTTATATTTTTTGTGCTTTTCAGGCACTAGCCGCGTGTCGGGAGGCGGGCTTACTCCAGCACGCATATTTCTTACAGAGAGATCTTGCTTTCATGAAGGAGGTCAGTTGCTTCAATATGAGTTTCAAAAGTAATTGAATTAATAATAATATCATCACACTTGGCTTTTAAACCTCAGGTTCGTGGTGTTGTTCTGTGTACAAATGAATTTTTAAAATAAATTTAGTTATAAAGTAAGAGAAATTTAATCGATAACTTGGTTGTCGATTTCGTGACTTTAATTTCATCTCGAAAAATAAACTCTTAAAGTCTGCTAAAGTTTAAACTCTAAAAGTTTGTAGTAACATGTCACTCATTGCTGCATATGTAATGTTCATAAACGAGATGGCTTTCAAGTAATGTTGAACTTATTTTTTCTTGTTATTACGTATGATGTTCATGGTGCACGTTTCATAAAAATTGATGCACCTTCAGGAAAAATCATAGTTTTGTATATACCTTCCTGCATTCAAACGACTCTTATAATAATGCACAATAAAATGATTTAATATCTCCTGGACTCCTTGAATTGTTCGTGAACGTATAGGTAACTTACATATAACTGATATTGAACTTCTATATAGTATTCTTACATAACTTCTGAACTTATAATAACTTTAAATTTATTATAAAATGTTTTTCATTGAGCGCCGCTGCTGCAGAATTATATAATCTTCTTACATATTTTATGAACTTATAATAATTTTAAATTAATTATAAAAATCTTGTCTTACACAACTTATGAACTTATAATAACTTTAAATTTATTTCCAGCGAGCGCCGCTGCTGCCGAATTATGGTTAGTCTTCTTAGATAACTTCTGAACTTATAATAACTTTAAATTAATGATAAAAATGTTGTCCAGAGAGCGCCGCTGCTGCAGAAGGAGTTACAGAGCCTGAAGACGCCAGCACGAGAGTTCCAGTGGCGAAGTCAGATCATGACTCCTGAGAGGTGAATACTTGGACTAAAATGCCATTTTTAGCGCATTATCTCATTTATGGAAAAAATATAACTCAGTACTCACTGCAGTGAGTGACAGAGAGCGCATTTTCTCGTCGACGAAAACGTGAAGTCACGGACGGACAGACGGACATGGCGAGCACAATAGTGCATTTTTTCCATGAATGAGAAAATGAGCTAAAAAGGCACTATTGTGCTCGTAATGTCCGTCCGTCCGTCCGTGACTTCACGTTTTCGTCGATATTGAGAAAACGCGCTCTCTGTCACTCACTGCAGTGTACCGTACTGATCTAATTTTGTCACTTTGTACTTGATAATTAATGGTATCATTATTGTCTTGTAGGATTTTCATTCAGCGATCAGTTGTTCTTGTACAGAATATTGAAGCACTCATCATGATCTAGGTGCTATTGGGGTAGAATAATAGTTTTCTTTAGTACCCGTAGCAGCCTAAGTCCATGTAGCGCCCGATTTCTTTGTCAGTTTAGCTTGGAAAGCCGTCAATGATTGTCTAAAGGAGTTACGAACAAGTAAAAGTATTTGAAAATAGGTTCCTTGCATAAGCTGCTTTTATTAGAGTGCATTTCATTCTTGCTGTAAGAAGCGGCAATCCGGGCGCTGTACTTTCTGCCGCGCGTGGATGGCAACTTTTATGAACGTATTGACGTGTAACAAGAACCACGTATTAACACGTTGACTGCGAAGTGGTACATATGCGTACCACGAAGTGTATTTCTCCAGGACGTAGTGGTTCACAAGATCAGGGTTGCCAGAGGGCCTAAAATACGGCCAAGTCCGTGAACACAAAAAAAAAAAAAAAAAAAAAAGGCTTATAACTCAATATATACTAATATTTCTGTAGGTTCCGGTGTAAAAATTCCATTCCTTTTTCATTTTACAGTTCTTAAAATTTAATTAGGAAGTCCCCCAATCATAAATTTTAACCGGCCGACGGTATTGAAAAAACTAAATCGCGGAATTTCTGCAGAAAAAAAAAGACCTTCTGACAACTCAATTGCAATATAGTACAACAAATAAAATAATAGTACAAGATGAAGCAATCGGAGTCAACGTGTTAATAAGTAATTATATATACTAATATATATACTAACTGTACACAGGTACGTGGTGCGGCGCACGTTTCAAGGGACAAGTGAGACCATCCCTACGGTCCTGAGCTCCGTCCCCACCTCCATCACGGCCCCCCGGTCCCCTCATCAGCCTGGATATGTCCTATACAAACAGGTGCTAGTGTGTCCTAGTGACATGTCCTTATTCCTAGAGACATATCCTAGTGACATCCTTATTCCTAGTGACATATCCGAGTGTTGCATAACCTCCTATCACAGCCAGGTTCTGATGTCATATCCTAGTAATATATCCTGACATATCCTTGTGTTCCATAGATTCTTACTACAGCCAGGTTCTGATGTTCTCATAGTGTTCCATAGACACCTACTACAGCCAGGTTCTGATGTTCTCATAGTGTTCCATAGACACCTACTACAGCCAGGTTCTGATGTTCTCATATCCTAGGAACATATCCCGACATATCCTAGTGTTGCATTGCCTCCTATTGCTGTAAAGCACTGATATGACCACAACACCGCCTGGTGATCCATGTCATATATCATATTCTTAACGACGCAACCTTCTATTAAAACACCAAAGTTTTTTTTTTAACTATATCTACCAGGCTTTACACATCCTCCAATCATCATCTTTACCTGATACTGCCTTCTATTGGTACATACAAGTTTTTTTATACTAAACTTGGCTACCAGGTTATAAGTACGACCAATCATAGCATGACACATCACTTTAAAAAAAAAAACTTGAATTTTTATGCAAATAGCCGCCTGGTTGTATGGATGACAGTGTTTGGAACCAGCATCTTTTTGGGGCACAGTCTTCAATTAAAATACTCAGTTTTGTATGCAAACATCGACTTACTGGTTATACGCTTGACCATCATCTGTGCGTGACATAATCTTCTATTAAAACCCAAGTTTTAATGTGAACTCAACTGTGTTCACAGTTAAGTTCAAAATATCAAAAAATGTTAATTTGGATAGGCAGGTTAACTAGCACATCTTAAGTCTTTAAAATAAAATTTCCCAATGATGATAAAAATGTTAACCTGGAAAAAGTTAACTAAAATGGCAAAAAATGTCGACCATGATCTTTACGTGAAACAGCCTTCTATTAAAAAATAACTCAGTACTCACTGCAGTGAGTGACAGAGCACGCATTTTCTCGTCGACAAAAACGTGAAGTCACGGACGGACAGACAGACAGACATGAGGAGCACAATAGCGCCTTTTTTCCAAAAATGAGAAAATGCTCTGAAAATATCAACCATCATATGTATGCGACAAATTAAAAAAAAAACTTCTATTAAAAAACGTAAGTTATAATGCGAACTCAACGGTCAGGTGGTACGCACAACGTCTACGCGGTGGCCGCTATGGCGCGTATGCAACGCACTGCACAGGAGCTATGCGTGGACCTGCAATGCTGTGTTCTTCTTCGGGCTGTGGGTGCCGCTGTGCTCCTCCCTCAGCCTCAGAGCCCTGTGCTCTGTACAGCCCTTCATGCCAGACTATGAACTATCACAGGTAACTGCAATTCATTACTGTACATTCCTGCACGTAAATTCCTGTACATTCCTGTACATTTCCCGTACTACATTTCCTGTACAGCCCTTCATGCCAGACTGTGAACTCTCGCAGGTAATAGCAATTCATTACTGTACAGCAATTGCTGTACAGGAGCAATTCATTCCTGTACAATTCCTGTACATTCCTGTAGATGCAGCAATTCATTCCTGTACAATTGATTCCTGCACAGCCCCCTATGAACTCTCGCAGGTAACTGCAATTCATTCCTATATGCCTCTCAATGTTTCTACTTTGTTTATCATTTGTTTTTCTAAATGTTGTACAAGCTAGTAGTACCAATATTTGCACGTTAACACAAAGATTCATTCGATGATTATATTAGTGGTGCTACAGGTGACTTGTACATACAAATATTTCTGTATGATAAGACTTATATGTATAACTTCAATCATTACTTATATAAATGAAACAGCAGGTAATTTGTTCATACAAATATCTCTGTATGAAAACACTAACATGTATAACGTCAATCATTACTTATATAAATGATATAAGAGGTGACTTGTTCATACAAATATCTCTGCACAACACAATAGATTCAATCATTACATTATATAAATGATACAAAAGGGGATTAGTTCATACAAATATCACTACATAACACAATAGATTTAATCATAACATTAACAGTACAACAGTTGACATGTTCATACAAAAATCTCTGCATTTGACCATAGATTTAATCATAACATTAACAACACAACAGGTGAACGGAGCAGTGTGCCCCAGCAGAGCGTCCCTGACGCCTACACTAGCACATCGGCTGCACAGACTCTGGCGCAAGATCATCAAAGCTCGCACACACTTCGAGACCACGCCTGACACTGGTGAGTTGTTGATAAAAATGTGCGGTGTTTAGTTGAAAAACTTGCTGAAAAGATAATTAAAAATAAAAAAACTCGTTAAAAAGTAATAAAAAATTTGTTGAATTTGTCAAAGCTCGCATGCCTTTTGAGACCACGCTCGACACTGGTCAGTTGTGGCCAAAAAAGTGCTGTGTTTAGTTAAATAAAAAATATAACTCATTACTCGCTGCAGTGAGTGCCAAAGAGCGCATTTTCCCGTCGACGAAAACGTGAAGTCACGGACAGACGGACAGACATGACGAGCACAATAGCGCCTTTTTTTAGCGCCATTTATATAAGTATGAGAAATGCGCTAAAAACTTGTTAAAAAATAATTAATAAAAATGTTGTTGAAGTTATCAAAGCATGCACGCTTCTTGAGACCTCGCGTGGCACCAGTAGTGATGCCGCTCGTCTAATGAGCCGTGCCAAGTAAAAAGGGTCCTTAGTTCAGAGAAAATATGGCTCTATAAAAATCCCCAAAAATGCTAAATATATTATATCTGTTTCAGCCAGTAGGTTTATCAATACAGAAATAGTACTTGATGTAAATCTTACTTATTGGCTTTCATTTGTGCAGGTTAACTCTTGATGCAAAGCTTCAAGCATTTTTCTGGAATTCTAGCGATCCATTAAATTTATTGACATTTATTTGTACCGATCAACACTTGATGCAAAGTTTCAAGCATTTTTCAGGAACTTTTGCGATCCGTAATACTTATTGTCTTTCATTTGTGCAGGTTAACACTTGATGTAATGTTTACTTATTGTCCTTCATTTGTGCAGGTTAAAACTTGATGTAATGTTTACTTATTGTCCTTCATTTGTGCATGTTAACACTTGATGTAATGTTTACTTATTGTCCTTCATTTGTGCAGGTTAACACTTGATGTAATGTTTACTTATTGTCCTTCATTTGTGCAGGTTTCATCGGTAAAGGCATGTCTCGCCACCTGAACCGCCTCTACAACTACGTCTTGAAGGGCGTCTTCGGCTCCCTCTTCTACGTGGTCGTCTTTCCTGTGCTCTGTGTCGTCGTGTCGCTTGCTTCCATCCTTGTCGCGCTACTCGCACCAATCTGGTCAGATGCATCATATTTATTCACATTTTGAATCCATTTGTTTGATAATTTAATGCTTAATGCAACAAATTATTTAAATTTTATGTCTTTTATGAGTGTCTTTATTTTAGCATTAAAGACACTCTGTGCGTCGTCGTGTCGCTCGCTTCCATCCTTGTTGCGCTACTAGCTCCAATCTGGTCAGATTCATTCACATTTTGAATCCATTTGTTTTAACCAATCTGGTCAGATTCATCACATTCATTCACATTATGAATCCATTTGTTTTAACCAATCTGGTCAGATTCATCACATGCATTCACATTATGAATCCATTTGTTTTAACCAATCTGGTCAGATTCATCACATGCATTCACATTATGAATCCATTTGTTTTAACCAATCTGGTCGGATTCATCATATTCATTCACATTTTGAATCCATTTGTTTTAATGCTTAATGCATTAAATTATCAGTTTAATTAATAACTATCGGTTCAAATTAAAGACACTTATCGGTTTAATTATTAATGCTAACTCGGAGCAGGACTGTTGATTGACGCGTATTTTGGCAATACATTTTATGTTTTTATTTGAAAAGTAGTGCGAATTTCCTAGTTTAAGCGACATTAGCAGCCGCCATGTACGGCTTACCAGCTATGCAGCCAAGTTCCTGCCTCAATTATTTTTTGCTGTCTCAATTATCACTTCCTGCCTCGATTATCACTTGTAGTCTCAATTATCACTTCCTGCCTCGATTATCACTCTTCTCGTTGTTGCCCCCCCCTAATGAAACCAATTATTTTGATGGTCTTCTCATAGCTCTTCCAAATCGCCCATGATATTCATTTCACTCTGGTTCGTCAATATAACCCTCGTCAGACTAAATAAATTTGCAACGTTACAATCGTACCGAGTGTAGGTATAATTGTAGCAATGCAGTCTAAAAAGGGTTAAACAATAAACATGCCATCATTTTCACATTTGATTCAAGGAATAAAATAGAGTTTTGACAAAGACTGCGAGTTCTTGTATACAGGAGATAATTTACGAAATTCATTGTATAACCGAACTGGAATTGCTAAACATTCTTCTTCAGCTGCTGGTAGTTTGGTCGAACTAGACTACCGTATTTCGGATAGCTACAAATTCGTAGTATGCACATTGCTAAAATGCGAAAATTTTGTACTTTGAAAGAGCTCAAAAATATTCTCCGATGGTTAAATCTGAACGCATTTCAAGCTTAATTTTTTTAATTTTTACCGACTAATAAAATACGAATTTAAAAAAAACTAATCAACTTATCGATTTGCACGCCCTATAACAGGAGACCACAAGGTTGTGAAAGTAACCTCTCTGTCATAGAACTCTTTATTTTTCTATCGTATTTTCTCGTTCCTGTTCAGCATAATTTATTAGACGATCAGGTATCGTCATTGTTTGTTTTTTCACAACAGGTTTATTGTTTATTTTTATTTTTATTGTTATTTTTTTCACAATACGATCAAAATTAGTTACGAGTTTGTAGCTCCGCCAGACAATCAGCCGCTACGTTTACTTCAGCAAGTTTTGATAGTATAAAATTTTGCGTTCACTGCTGAGAATAAATTTATCTATAAAAATATAACTCAGTACTCACTGCAGTGAGTGACAGAGAGCGCATTTTCTCGTCGACGAAAACGTAACAGACGGACGGACAGACGGACATGACGAGCATAATAGCGCCTTTTTTCCATAAATGAGAAAATGCGCTAAAAATACTACTATATATTATAAAAATGAAAGTATAAAATATTTTAAATTAATATTATTGTTCAGGGTGCCGAGTGCCGTGGTGGTATGCAGCGTACTGTCGCCCCTGGTGTATGATTTCGACGCCCCCCTCCCGGAGCGCCGCTGGTTTCCCTACATCAGGGCGCTGCTGGGCAACATCCTGCTGGGGGGACTAGTGCAACCCCTAGTGCTGCTAGTTGTGCTGCTGCTGTGCCCTCTACTAGCTCTACTAGTTCTGCTGTGTTAGTACACTGAGTTAGGAGTATAGTAAGCTTTACTATTGCTGTACTAGCTCTACTGGTCCTGCTGTTGTAGTTTTACTCAGTGTCAGTCTGTCAAATTTTATAGTGACAGTGTTCGTGTGTGCCACTGTACAAGTTTATAACTCTGTCAAAGGTTGACAGTCATAACCTTGAAAGGATCTGTCTGATCTAGTAAATCAATTAGTTATAACCTGAGGGGTTTGGGTTCGTTTATAATTGTCCGAATAACATATTAAATATTCATTGGCCAGGGAAGGATAATAACAAGACGTGTATCTAAGCGTAAGTATTAAAGATAGATTCACGGGATACACTAGATTGAAGTTACAGGATCAAAGCACAGTATGTGCAGTAATTTTGGAGATGGAGTATAACGAGACTGCGTGTTGGCTGAGTGCCGGAGTCTAGGGTTAACTGCATGACTGCAGCTGAAGGCTGTCTGCCTAAGACTCGCCTAAGACTGACTGGTAGTACGCTCTTCGAGCTTATATACGCGGTGACCCGCGAGGAGCGACGTCACAGAAGGTGACGTAATAGTCGCTAATGACATCACGGCCTGACAAGTCTCGTGTGTTAATTATCTATTCCTTGTGGTGAGTGTCAGTATCCTGTTCTCAGTGTCAGTATCCTCTACTCAGTATCCTGTTCTCAGTGTCAGTATCCTGCACTCAGTAGCCTGTACAGTGTCAGTAATCAGTATCCTGTACTACAGTACTCAGTATCCTGTACAGTGTCAGTGTGCCGGTACGGGCTGAGGACGGGCTGGGACGGACTGGTCTATGAAGGACTCATCAGGCAGCGAGGACGCGTGCCCGCCGCGGACTCCTGCCTCGTCAGGAGGATCGCAGGGCCAGGACTGCACCATCACTACTGCTATCAGGTCCAATATTATTGTTCTTTTATCATTATTATTGCATTATTATTATAATTGTTAATATTATTTTTTTGTTATTATTATTATTAGCGCATTTTCTCATTTATGGAAAACATGCCCCTATTGTGCTCGTCATGTCCGTCTGTCCGTCCGTCCGTCTGTTACTTCACGTTTTCGTCGACGAGAAAATGCGCTCTCTGTCACTCACTGCAGTGAGTACTGAGTTATATTTTTATTGTTTTATTATTATTATAATTATGGTTTTATTTAATAATAATATTATTACTACTATTATTATTATTGCATTATTATTGTTATTGCATTATTATTGTTATTATTATTAGGTACTATTATTGTTATTGTTATCGTGACGTCTGGTCTTGTACGAAAGTTCGAGAGGTCCATGAGGTTTTGTCATACAGCTCATTAATATATGAAAAAATTCTTTTGGAAGAATATTTCATAACTAAAATGCAATAATTTCCATGATTTTATTTATTTATTTTATACCGTACTCATCATAGAGTATTCCTGTACATTATATGGTTTTTCATGCGGGACTTATTATGCCGTATAATATGTGTTGTTATTCAAGTTCATACGTGAACAATTTATCTTGTATAGGTGAGCATGGAGCAGGCCTTGGCTGCCCTGGAGGCTCGTCTGGAGCAGGAGCTGCTCGCTGCGTACCAGCTCTCCATGGAGCAAACTATTGCACAACCGCTGCTTGTATACGAGTAAGTCTCTGGTACAGTTATTCCGGTGTTATATTAGGGACAGTAATATTTTGTGCCATGTCATTAAACCTTATAATATACAACTGTTAAAATACCATCCGACATCCGTTGAATTCAACTGATCGATTCCTAAGAATCTATCCACTAAATACAACGGATAGATTCCTAATTTTTCAATGGTAAATAATTTTTCTCGAATTTAAATTTTAATGGTTTTATTTGTAGATTTTGTTTATACGATTGTTAAATTTTTATTCTGAACTTGGATTTTTTGTGAGAGATTGTTAAACTTTTATTCTAAACATGGATTTTTTGTGTGAGATTGTTAAATTTTTATCCCAAACAGGGATTTTTTGCGAACGATATTCGGTCCCTTCGGAGGAGGTAGTGGTGGGGCTGTAGGCGCTTACGAGCGCGTCCTGCGGGAGGTTAAGGACCTCCAGCGCGCCCTGCACGAGAAGGTCGACGCTAGGAAGAAGGAACTACAGCTCGGCCTGCACCCTGACATACGGTAAGGTCACCTCGAGATTGCGGTATGGATTTACTGGAACAAAGTAACTTGGATTTGGATAGATTTACCGTAAAATTTCCTTTCACGGCAGCATATCATTTTTCCGATTACTGGAATGAAATAACTTGGCAAAATTTCCTTTCACGGCAGCACATAATTTTTCCGATTACATATCAAATTAGTTGATGTTTTTCTTAAGGCTTTTTGTCTTGAAGTTTTGATAATAAAACAAATATGTTTCTCTTCAGGACGCGTTTAAAATTGACAACGAGAGAACTAAAAGCTACCCTGAAGCAGGCGACCGTGATGCTAGAGCACCTCTACCCCGAGACACTATTTCCCTTGATGATCGCTGCCCCGCGGCCGCCGTTGCCTTCGTCTGACCAGCAGAGCCGCATTGACAGCGGCATTTCTACCGGCGGAGACGTCGACGAAGATGGCATCCTTAGTCGCGGCAGCTTGAGTTGCGTGGGCGAAGATGCGCGACCGAGGAACATTGTTCCTACATCAGGAGCTTTCAACTCTCTGAGCTTGGCTGGTCACGGCAAGAACCTCGCAGGTGCTAGCAAGCAAGGCAGCAACGCAGGTAACCGGCTTGCTAGAGGTTGCAGCGAAGACTCAGCTCATATTTTACGCGATACCGGAGTACCTAGTGCCACTGACCAGCCTCCTGATGTGGTATCAGTGGAAGGCGCTATCAGTTTTGAGAGCAGCCGAGGTAGAGGGTCTGATGTCCAGGTTCTCGGCAGTAGCCCTTCCCGAGGGTACAGCGAAGAACGTTTACTGAATGAAAGTCGGGAGGTGCTTCTAGGACCCAGGGACAGACAAGACGTGAGGGGAAGTCTGGAAAGACGCGTGTCCTCGCAGCAGAGTGAGATGGTATCCTTGAGGAGCAGTAGCCACAAAGTTGGAGGCCGGTTTGTTTCTGAGGAAGCCTGGTGGGATGGTCGTGGTCTACAGCCTGGCGACTATCCTTCTCTCGCCGCGCTGCTCTTCACCGAAATATTCAGCGCTGATTTCCTCACTCCAATGGACGATGAAGATACTGCTTTTCAAATCGAGTGTTCTAACGTTAATTTATCCCGCTATACCGACATGCTTAAACAGTGTCCCGAAAGACCTGACCTCGACCCGCTCCTTACTGTACACATTCCTCGTGGTCACGCCATACACGTGACGCCTCCATACCTCGACTTGTCATGCTTCATGCCCCTCAGCCGACATACCACGTCACATCCTCCTCATGTCAAGGGATCTAAAGCCGCCCTCTGGGGCACACACATCGCTGAGCGCCTCTCTCTCCGCGCCCGCCCTCATCACCCTGCTGGTAGCGGCAGAGGTAAGGGCCTAGATGGAATATTCTGTGCGTTATAATAATCCAGTGGGTTACAACAATCCTCGACGGAATAATACTCTGCTGGTAGTGGTAGAGGTAAGAGCCCTAGACGAAATCGTATCTGCTTTAGATGATTTAAATTGAGGCTAAAATATCCCGATATTGTTATTCAGTAGAAGCTCCTCGATAAAAACCGCGTCTTTTAAATTCGAATCACGAAAGTATGCCAACTGTTCCTAGGATGACTAGGTGAATAATGAATGTTATTAGATATTAGTCTGAGAATTTGTCAATTGATATAAAACTTTCTTGTAATATTATTAGAAATTAATATACATTATGTTACAAGTTTAAAAAAATTCACTATCATACATTGTTGACAGGTATTTTAATCGCCTAAAAATAAGATACCTTGAAACGCCTGTCACGTGAACCACAATTTTTCATAACTTGAAATGAATAAATATAAGAAATATTTTTAATAATTTGTATTGTGCCCCTAGGAACACCATCTTTCATCATAATTCTATATATTAATATCATTAACTTGATTATGCATATCAATGACATCAGGCGGCATGAGTGGTGATGATGGCCGTGGAGTGTTCGAGAGTCCGCTCGTCGTGCCACCGCCGGTGCCACATCCTGCAGTTATCGCCGTCATAATATACAACAGAGAGGCTAATGAGCCTCTACAACTCTCCTGTCCCGACACGCGATATGTGAGTGTACAATATTACTCATAATATACAACAGAGAGGCTAATGAACCTCTGCAACTCTCCAGTCCTGACACGCGATATGTGAGTGTACAATATTACTCATAATATACAACAGAGAGGCTAATGAACCTCTACAACTCTCCTGTCCCGACACGCGATATGTGAGTGTACAATATTACTCATAATATACAACAGAGAGGCTTTTCCACACCCGATATGTGAGTGTTCATTTCGGTTTTATTTATTAGAGACATAACATGCCACATAATATTCGGTATTGCTTTTGCTGTATACGGATTATTGAAACTTGTACTCCATTTTGGTTGCCGTGATTATGGGAAGTCAATAAATTGTACAGCTCTTAGACAGTTTTCCGTTGTTGTATCATTTATTGTCCGATATCCATTGTTTGTTTGATATGATAATCACTAACTATGATAAAAATCTCGCAAGGTTTCAGGGAATTAATTTCTTTTCGTTGAGAAAATTATTTCTTTTTCCCGTTCTCATGTTATTGTTATTCGTTTATTAGCGCTTGATTGAACAGCAATAATTTAAAAGCAGCAAAATTATCTAGTAAATTTTGAAATCTTCAATGAAAATCTTTCGGAGAGACCAGCTCTATTATGAGTTCAACAAAATTATACATACAATTACAATCGATAGTGAATATCAAAATACGCACAAACGAGATTAGAACCCAAGCTGCAAGAAAACGTCATACAGAAACATAAAGACTGAACTATTTCATAGAGCCTATGAATCTAGTGCTTAGTCATTTTATCCGTTCTCATCCTTTCTTGTATATATTTATTTTTCGCTTGCTATTAATCTTATGTGTGACGTGCCCTCGAAGTTCGTGTGAACCAGACGCCACGATAACTGCTTCGTAGAATAATAATAATAAAAACCTATGTTTGCAAATTTAAAAGGTGTAAACCCCGTACACGTTAATTGAGCAGGTGTTGCGCTTCGTATAATAATAATAATAACATATCTGTTTACAAAATCAAAAGGGAATATATCCCGTACGCGTTAATTGAACAGGTGTATAATAATAATAATAATAATAATAATAATAATAATAATAATATATCTGTTTACAAATTTCAAAAGGTGTAAGCCTCGTACGGGTTAACTGAGCAGGTGTTGCCCTTCGTAGAATAATGATAACAACATATCTGTTTACAAATTCAAAAAGGGAATAAACCTCGTACGGGTTAACTGAGCAGGTGTTGCGGTGCATGGAGGAGTGTGTGAGGAGGGACCCTGCTGCTGGGGGGCACAAGGGGCGCAGGAGCCCCTGGGGCGTCGAGGAGACCAGCGGCTCCTCTGAGTCTTCCCCTCCTTCCTCCCCGCCATCCATGGATGAACGAGCTTCTTATGCACGGTTAATAATGAATCTTATTGTGATATTATTCCGAGAATTCGTCAATTATGAATTATTAGATAGTATTCCGAGAGTTTGTAAAGTAATGGAAGACTTTATTGTAATATTATTATAAATTAATATATATTATGTGATAATTCTAATGCAACAATTCACTATCATACATTGTTGACAGGTGTTTTAATAGCCTTAAAACTATGCAAAAGTGTAATTTGTGTTGTGTTGAAGTGGCGTTGAACAGCCGTGTGTTGAGGTAGCGTTGATGGCTGTTTAATCATATTCCTGATTTTCCTGGTGAACAACAACAACAACATGACAACAACTACATTCCGATAAAATCGAGTTGCATAACTTATCTATGAAACTTATAACGAAAAATGCACTGCAATCAGTGTAATGTAATTTTATTCAGCCCTTGAATAACGCACTCGCTGCTTATTTCCGCGAGCAATCGCTTCTATGTTTATTCCGTATACCGCAGTGACGGTTATATATGGAATGAATTCAACTTCAATCCAAAACCTAAATAAATCTTAACAACGCTACACATATTTAAAGTTTTGTTATGTGTATGAACATTTGATATAGTTGAAATCAACATTTCATTGCATCCACTTGATTACTATGTTTTATATTAGTCGTAAAATTAATTAAATACGGCAATTATTTCAGTTGTCCAGACGGTGGCTCGCGTTCGGCTACCTTAGCGATGTCTGATGCTCTACAGTCGCCCTCCATTAGCGGGTGATTATCCATTAAAAAATTATCTATTAAAATTAGCCACTGCTTTACATTAATATGTGAAGTATTCAAATATCATGAATGAAAGGTTTTGTAATGAGCGACAGGATTACTGGCAAACGAGTTGAATGGCATTTTGGCTCTACCATAACTGGTATATCTTTTGTTACTATAAATAAATTATTCAATTTAACGCCTTCCAAATCGGAGCCAATTCTTTCAAAGCCAAGTTATAAGATTTGAAAATGTCCATAAAGTTGAACAAAGATTTGAATAAATTAACAAATTAGCATTTAATTCTAATAAAATCGTAATGTTGAATACACGTCAGGTAATTGATATTATTTGTAGTTATGACTTATGATTGTATGAATTATATGGTAATTGTGCTCTCTTAATGCAGATTAATATGCGTTTAAAAATTACTTTTTGAAGACGACACTTCTAAAGAGGCCAGTGTCTCCAATGTTACACATGTACAACGAATTTCGTATTCAATTTTTTAATATTAAAAAAAATTCCAACTTTTTTTAATGTTAAAAAATAATTACATTTTTAAAATTGTTCATTCTGTCAATTGATTCATGCATTGTCTCCAACTTTACGCAAGTGTGCAAAATTTCAGAACGATTGGACAGGTAGAAGTGTATTAAATATCGATTATAAACTTGGAACAAAAAACACAAGAAGTTAAGTAAAAGAGAAGTGTTTTAGAAAGGTAAAAATTTACATCCATTAAAGTATTTTTTTATCCAGATTAAAATACAAGCCATTTCATTAATATTCAGACGCAATTACTCGGTAACTGTCATTTATTTGTGTGTCCTCAGACTAAAAAACAATTTATTTCAATTAATGAAATTATGCGTAGAGAAATAAATGTGTGTATAGTATCCAAATCATGACACGTTTTCTGCATGTAGCACTGATGCGTTCTTTTGCCGGGAAACCCTAGGTCAGGATGGCCCTCTCAAGGACAAGACCTGCATCTTCATACAGACAAAGTATATTTTTTTACTGTACAGATAAATTCTAGAATGGCCAACCTGCACCGCCATTTGAACAAAATCTCTCGATTTTTCTAAGTATGGAGATAAATTGTATTGTTTTGAGCAGCGGCGCTGGAGGCTCGCAAATGTCCCCCGACTCCCTGCGACATTGCCTGGACTCTAACCCCCTGCAGTCGCTGCTGGAGTCGCACCCTCCGTTCTCTGTAGCCCTGGACCTCGCGCCCCCTGAGGACCCCCCAGCCAACGAGTATGAGGACGCCCTCAGGACGCTCCATGCCACCGACTCCTTGGGGTCTCGTGGTGGTCGGGGGAAGGGGGGTCGTGATCCCACGCCCGTGTGATGCTTACGATAATAAGATAATAATATTCAATGATGCACATATACACTCTGGGGTTTATACACTCTGGTGTGTATAAACTCTGGTGTAAATACACTGCGATGTATACGTGCGGCAACACTTCCTCAATAATTAATATATACACATGTATATATATATATACTGGTGTATATATTTATATATATATATACATGATGTTTATAACTCTGGTGTTTGTGCACTCTGATGTGTTTACACTCTGGTGTTTATACACTATGGTGTGTGTGTGTATATGTCGTGCCGTAATCGCGGAATTGTAGACTATGGAATCGGCAGCCAGTTACCGAATCTGTAGAATCAGCATTTCTATACTACGGGAATCTGGGATTAGGTCAGTCAGTCAAGTTTTTTTTAATATTTAAATATAAAGGAACTTGACCTAACCTTCTCTAACTCTAACTATCGGTTTATATTCTAACTCTAACGTTCGATTTTCTAAATCGGCAATTCCGCAATTTCTCCACGACATATAAACTCTGGTGTGTATGAGTATTAAAGGCTCAAAAAAGATCAGTGAAGGGAGTTTCAAAGAGTCAAAGCTCCAACTCCTGTGTGGTATTCCATAATGTATGACTTATAGTGTTTCAGTAAACTCCCGTGTGAAATTTTAACGGAGTCTAGGCTGTCACTCCGATTTGATGGCAAGCATATGATTTTGATTGACCTAACCAAGTCCAGTGTGTAAAGTTAAACGAAGTCAAGGCTGTTGCTCCATTGTAATGCGACTGGATTATGCAACTGTTGTTCGTGTTAGTTTAACTTAACCAGATTATCATGGCTTTGCCTAAGAAAGTTAGAAGGAGCTAAACCATGAATGAAATTTGCCATAAAACCTACAAAGGACCTCCAGAGTTTCTCTGATGAAGCGACGTTTATTTTTTATTTTTGGTTATCGCGAAAAAATTATGTTCTGGATTTTACTTTCGAAAATTTAGCTTCTTTGAGAAATCGACGTTGTATTTTGGCCATTGCATTTCAATTGCTTTATCAAATAATTTAAATGGAATGTAAATGTGATTTCAATCGTTTTTTCTTTGCCATAGGAAATGGCTTGAATATTTAAATTGTTATTAAAAAGATCTGTATCGAACTGGTATTTCAACTCGATTTAATGAGTTTTATTATATCAGTACTAGTTATTGAATAAGAACTACATTTAATCTCAGTTTTTTTAAGATTCTGGGTCATGTTTAGGCCCATCCATTTCACAAGACAACTCGGATCTTATCCTCATACATGACACTGAAGTTGCCATTGATAGCAATTATAAAAGAAGTAACACGCATTTCAGAGGCGATGCTCGCTCTATACCTGCTCTGCCCGCTGCTGTTATTCGTATCCATTGTACAAGTTGGCTTTGGCCATCCATTGTACAAGTTGGCTTTGGCTATCCACTGTGAAAGTTGGCTTTGGCCATCCATTGTACAAGTTGGCTTTGGCTATCCACTGTGAAAGTTGGCTTTGGCTATCCATTGTATAAGTTGGCTTTGGCTATCCATTGTACAAGTTGGCTTTGGCTATCCATTGTACAAGTTGGCTTTGGCTACCCATTGTACAAGTTGGCTTTGGCTATCCATTGTACAAGTTGGCTTTGCCTATTCATTGTACAAGTTGGCTTTGCCTATCCATTGTACAAGTTGGCTTTGCCTATTCATTGTACAAGTTGGCTTTGCCTATCCATTGTACAAGTTGGCTTTGGCTTTCCATTGTGCAAGTTGGCTTTGGCTCGACTGCGTTCAATAAGGATATTTCAATTCAGCAAAAAATTTCATTTCGGTCTCTTTAGCGAACACACCTCACATGATTTTTCTTACCAAAAATGAACATTTCTATTGAGTTGTTTATGCATTAATTTGCTTTCCGAAATTTGAATAGCTTTTTGGCTCGAAATTTGTATTTCAAAAACAGCACTACATTTAAGTTATACCGTATCTATTATTTAATTGGTGCGTCATCAGATCTTATAAAATTCATTATTTCATTGACATTTTTCACTATTTATATTGAAACGGAAACATTTTGAATGAAATGATTATCGTCTTTTGGTTAAGGCTAAATAATAGAAAAAACAGTTGAAAGGGCAACCGTGATATATACTGTCACGTAAGTATATATGACATGCGTGGCAGTATTGTAGGAGTATATATGACGTGCGTGGCAGTATTGTAGGAGTATATATGACGTGCGTGGCAGTATTGTAGGAGTATATATGACATGCATGGCAGTATTGTAGGAGTATATATGACATGCGTGGCAGTATTGTAGGAGTATATATGACGTGCGTGGCAGTATTGTAGGAGTATATATGACGTGCGTGGCAGTATTGTAGGAGTATATATGGCAGTATTGTAGGAGTATATATGACATGCGTGGCAGTATTGTAGGAGTATATATGACATGCGTGGCAGTATTGTAGGAGTATATATAACTTGAGCTTTTTACCCAGCGTCTCTTGTAATGTAGGCTGCTTCTCTGTAACCTAACTTATATCTTTACATATTTTTTTGTTTGCCATTCATGATTGAAACATTTTCTCATGTCTTTTTCAATCATAATTAGTTTTATATATATTTTTCAATCATAATTAGTATAGCCTCTGTTATTCTTTTTAGCTTCGCATAAGCGTTTTGAACACTTTTTATAAATGACGGTTATAATAACGCACATTTTAGTTGATTTTATTAATACGGCATCAGTATCGTTTTATGTTTCGCCAGAGTTTAACTAGTTTACTATAATAAACTAGTTAAAGCTAAGCACCTTAGGCTTTAGTGTTGTTTTTGTGGTCTATGAAACTTCAAAGAGTTTGTAAATATTTAATGCAGTCGAGCTTTTACTACACATATCTTGCCGCACTTTTGTAGGCTCGCAACTACAGCAAATACGATTAAATTAACGCGCTTTATTGTACTGAATGTTGCTTGTATGTTGTAGTTGACCGTGCAGTGCTTGATATGCTGTGCAGTGAAGTGCGCTGTGCAGTGAAGTGTGCTGTGCAGTGAAGTGCGCTGTGCACGGCTTGATATGCTGTGCAGTGAAGTGCGCTGTGCAGTGCTTGATATGCTGTGCAGTGCTTGATATGCTGTGCAGTGAAGTGCGCTGTGCAGTGAAGTGCGCTGTGCACGGCTTGATATGCTGTGCAGTGAAGTGCGCTGTGCAGTGCTTGATATGCTGTGCTGGGTTTCTCCTTCACTTCACTCTAATCCTCTCATGCTTCTTACGTTAGGGAAAATGTCTATTAGAATTGTAGTCGCTCATTTGTTGCGTCTATCTTTGATGCTCGACTTTATTAGACTTCATCGCGTTGATCTTTATCGTCGATTTTTATCGGCGATGTTCATCGTCGATCTTTATCGTCGATCTTCATTGTCGATTTTTATTCGTCGATCTTTATCGTTGATCTTTATCGTCGATCTTTATCGTCGATCTTCATCGTCGATCTTCATCGTCGATCTTCATCGTCGATCTTCATCGTCGATCTTTATCATCGATCTTCATCGTCGATCTTTATCATCGATCTTCATCGTCGATCTTTATCGTCGATCTTTATCATCGATCTTTATCATCGATCTTTATTCGTCGATCTTTATCGTTGATCTTTATCGTCGATCTTTATCGTCGATCTTTATCGTTGATCTTTATCGTCGATCAATGTATATACTTTCTTGGAGTATAATCACGCCATTTAACGATTCTTCAGTAAAGGTTTCCTTCTCCAATAACCTGGAAAACATTTTTCGAACGTGTACAGAATCTAGGATCTCTTTATAATGTCTTTCATCAGGAACTCTTCTCTTATTTATTTATTACTTTTTATCCTGACTAAAAAGCTCTCTATTTTACTGGGTATTCCTTTTGTTATCAGATTTACAACACGTATTGAAGTACTCAACAAAATTTGACAAGTATATATCCTAGAATATGTGCAGATGGCTTGGTCCAGCTGAGTAAAAAACCTTGCTTGTATTAAATAATCGATGCTGGAATATTATACTATGCATGTCATATTATTTACAGGCACGGGATAGTGAACTTACTGTTGTTTACGGACTAATTCTTGTAGTGCGAGTAGTGGTGTAAATATTGTAGCATTTTTGAATATTTTCATGTCTTCATTATGCTGTTTGTGGACGCCAATTGCAGGAAAGGTTTATGATACATTGCATATTGTGATATAATTTGTCTTTGTATATCTTACTATATCTTACAGTTACGTTCGAATTAGCGAGTCATTCTGAAAATAAGTGTGAATTCTTACGAATCATTTTAAAGAATCTAATTTAATTCTAGTTTTTTGATAAGGTTTCAGCCTGCCTGAATTTGTAGGTAATATAAAACTATGTGTTGATAAGTTTATTTTACTTGCGTATCTTGCCATTTTTTATGTATTTTCGATGTATAAAAAAATCTATATGTAAGTTTTGAATGACAGGAAAGAATGGACAAGAACTTATATTTTAAGCGTTCTCACCTTTCACCAGTTATATAACCAGACTTTTTTCCATTTGGGATTTTGTGCCGTATTATCTCAACCCTTTACTGGAAATTGTGAGTGTTTGTTTGCTCTATTTTTTTCGCAGATGTTATGGTTTCTGTTAAGTATTGCTGGTCTTTACGCTTCTCCTGATACCAATCATTACACCAAATTAATTTGCTTTAAGTATTTTAAATCAAGGACAATAAATTACGCTATCAATTGGTTTCTCATTTTCCATTCAGCTTTGGGTAATTTATCTTGGGCTTTTTTTACTAAGATGCCAAATTTTCAACAAGATTGCGCGCAATTTTCGAACTTTTGGTGTTAATTTAATGCTAATTACTTGATATAGTACAGTAATTTCTGCGCCGAAGACTAAGCCAAATCTGGCCTTCTGACCAGATCTTTTCAAAACTGACGTTGAATTAACTGGTGGCTTGATTATTTCATGTCGTGAGGTTATAAGCCGAACATATACGACTACATGATTCTGTCTAGTGCGCATTATTTAGCATATAATCGCGGTTCATGTAGTTACAACCATATTCTTGTGCAAACCATAAGTATACTTTAATGAGCTCGCAAAGCAGACGTCGATAACAGAGACTTGGAAGCTGCAAATACGTTGACACGCTTTGTTTCATTCACGCACTCTCAAGTATATTGTACCTTGTACAATATACTAAATGCTTTGTACAGACAGTCCTTATAAGCAAAACAGTCCTTATAAGCAAAAGAAAAATATTCTAGCATTCCTGATAATTTTTACAAAATTTCTAATGCCTTATTGTTCCTAGGATGTAACTAACGCCAGAATGAAGATGAATTTCAATTATTAGAAAATGAATTTTTCAGCCCGTCACTTTATTTTGCAGCAATTTGAATAGTATAACTGTATAAGTTTTTCCTAACAAAGTGCTTGCTATATTTAGGTGTTAATTAAGAAAGTCCATTGAATCTCTACTAAAATGTGAGTTGTTCCTGACGAAATTATTCAATAAATAGTCAGGAAAAATAAAAAAATTGTATCATTCCACTCACGCTGAACCCAAAAATTTCATTTCACTTCAAGTTTTGTCTCTACAATATCCGCTGAAGAAATGCTATCTTCAAAGGTTGAATAGCAATCCACCGAAACTTGTATTGTCGTGTTTATCAACAAGTTCGATGAGCATGAAATTACGACTAAATGGACATTTAAACTTCGTTCTTCATTCATGAGCATTCTGAGCTGCATTGAATCCCGGTACGAGGAAGATAGCAAGATTTATAAATGTCGTAGTTTGAAAACTGGAAAATTTATAGAACTTTGACTTGAAGACAGTTCGAAATGGGTGAGTATAGGGCTATAGGGAAGCGGAAATCTTAGTTATTACAAATACTGTGTACATTTTGATATTGTTCATGATCTCAATAACTTTGAGTGTAGTTGAACTTTCATTGGATAGATTCATTTGTTTGCTCCTAATGCTGTTGAGTTTGTTTTTTATAACAGTGTTGCTTATATTTCAGGGTGGCAACAGCTTCTCAACAATTCCAGCCTTCCACTAAAGAAACGGCTACATGGAGCTCTTGTGGCCTTCCTGTCTTCATCTGTGGAACTTAGAACACAACAAAAAGAAGACATAGTCATTTTTTGGCTCACTAGATTAGTTAGGGAAAAACAGGTATAATTTTTTCCCATATGTAAGTTATGTAACCATTACCCACTAGGTACTCACTTCACTTGACAAGTTGACAACAGACAAGTTCTTTCTCAATAGCCAAGAAAGCCCAAGATAGTGTTTTCTTAGCCTTCTGTGAAATATCCAAAATCATATTTAAGAACGATTTTCATCTCATTTCATGACAGTTAAGGTCTGAATAATATATTTTTGTTTAGATACCTAAAAATCTTGTGGCTTGTGTCTTGTGAGATGCCATTGGATGATTGGACAGATGCAACCCTTGAATGAGAGAAAAGGTTTATGCTCATGAATATTTACATCCATTTCAAAGACCCTTGCGTACTTTCTTTTTTAAAATTAAAATTGGCTCATTTTTGCTTGCAATTTTTGATAATTGTTCGTGAAATGATAGTTATTACTTGTGATTTTTTGAAAGCCGTGCTCAGTGCTCACTGCTCAATATATTTGGCATCTTGATAACATGGCTAAAACATAGTCCTGCTCTTGTCTTGATCTGAAATATATGAGAAAATTTTCCAAAAAATTCTTGTATGAACAACTTCCAAAGTAATTTTCCTAAACTTTGGGCAAAATGTTCTATTTTTATTCATTTTTAAAATTGACAAGGCAGTGGGAAAGGAATTTGTAAAATTGTTCAAAAGCACCAAGAGCTTCATCATATTTTTTTAATCCCCAATTTTACAGATAGTTTCAGCCCAATTGTGCAGTTTGGCTCTCATTTAAATTCCCATATGCAAAATTTTACTTGAGGATGAAGTTCCTGTAGCCAAAGTTGTGTCAAACAGGAATCAAAATATTTATGGTGGCAGAAAAAATTATCTTTTTGTAAGCCAGCTCTAGAGTTTTCCCTATTCTTGATTCCTATTTTTCTCCTTGGTGTTTTTCTCCTTGATGTATTATGCAACTGCATGATTTACCTGCAATATTTAACACCTTCCCTGCTTATCCACATTCTCCGGATTTAATAATCAACCTTATGTGTGAACACAAATATTCTAAAAGAGGAAGTTTACCTATGAAATTTTGAGTTATACGTGCTTCATTAAAACTTCATACCAGCAGTGGAATATCATTGTTGGGACACATATGGCCAATTTGCAAGGAATGTGTAAAGTGTCTCTAAAATACATGAATATTCAGCAGCCAGATTTTAGTACTAAGTAGGATTTTGGCAATCTTGGCTTTGCAAGTATATCTACATTTTTAGTCTTGATTATTTCATGCTTTGAAGACATAAGTATACACCAAAATAATTTTGAATGTTGGAAAATAATTTAGGATCTATAAATTCTCTGTCAGCATAACAAATATTATATGTTAGTTACTGTTAAGGATATTTATAACTCATCACCATATTATTGTGTGAAAAATTAAAATATTTGGGTAGCTCATTGTGAGTAGCATTTGCAAATATTTGAGAAACTAAAACATCTGTAGAGGACCCTTTCTTGGTTACTTATTAACCACATTGACATAATATTCTTTTGTTAATGATCCGGGTAAAAGTACCATCAATAATACCCAAGTCACATTTTCCCTTGAGTCTCACACTACCTACCCTAGAAAATTTAGTAATAAAACCATTTGAAAATGTTGCTGGCTAATGATTTCTGGTATTTTGTTTTGTTATTAAATGGTGTTCTAATGGTAACCATGATTGATTTATGCTGCAATTTATTAATGCTGAGAAAAATTAAGTTGCAAATTTATAATTTTTCATTTTTTTACATGCAGGCTACCACATGGCGCGAGGGAACTGATGTTGAACAAGAGCAAGTTTGGGAACTGCTGGACAATATTTTTTCATCAAATAGACTGCAGAAGTTGGTGAACAATGGCTGGACCTGTCCTATCACATCAGCTTTCCCTCGGGTATATACTATACAATCATTGACCTACTTTACTAAGAATTAACTATATTTTTGATATTTATACACTCTTACAAAGTATCAGTCTATCAGATAAAGTATCTATATTTGTCAACATTAGAAATATCAGCAAACGGAAATTAAAATTAATTTAAAACCGAGATCTTATTTTGAGTCAAGTCCTCTTTGGACCAAATGACTGTTTTCATTCATCATGTTACAAATGAATTTGTATTAGTTCAAATAAAATATCATGACCAGAGTTATCACTTTGCTATCCTTGTAAAAAAATTTTGTTTCTTGAACTATGTTTACTCAAATAGCTGTGCTAATATTTTTCCTAGGTAATATTTTGTTGTGTATATAATAAATTATTTTGTATTTGATTTCAGAGCATTGTTGATGTGCTGGGCAGTCCAAACCTGGGTCAACAGACCTGTAGACACGTTGTTTCAACAGTGTGTTCTGTCATATCCACCCCAGCACTTGTGTCAGTCATCAGCAATTCTGCTGCTCTTTCATTGCAAGTTTTGACTGCGCTGCTGGATATTGCCATGAGCTTCCCTTGGAGTAAAGTTGAAGAAGAGAGACTCAAAAGGGAACCCAGCAAGCATGAAGCTTCTCACATTGATTCTAAAGTACTGGAAAACTGGCCAGCAAAAAAGAAGAGGGGTACTTTCTCTTATGCTGGAAAAAATGAGACTGATATTTCAGTACCTCATGTAGTCTATGAAGAGAAAGTTTTACAAGCCATCTCGATTTTACTCAATGAAGTGAGATCTCAGCTTCTTGTAAAAAAGGATGATACTGCTGTCAAGTTCTGCAGCCAACAGCTTCTACGACGCCTTGTTATTTTTGAAACTTTGTCAGAGGCCTATTGTGGTAAATTAAAATTTAATCTACTAATAAAAATGGAAAATCTCATTCAGAACTGTCTGTTTAGTCCCAATATTTCAGTTCAGTACAAAACATTCCTATCCTTCATGAGTGTAGAGGGCTGCAAAGAATTCAGCGAATTATCGCTTATTCCAGTGGTTTTAAGCAGTGTGGCCTCTATCATGACCAGTGAGTCGTTGCCTGCCGTTAAACGTGCTGTTTCTCTCTTTTTTGAGGGTTTTGTGCAAAAGTTTTCCGAGGAAGAGTGGGTAAAAATGCTGGCCTGCTTACTGCATATGGCTGGTATAACTCTCCCCAAGAGCTTTATCAGTTGTGACAGTGAAGCATTAGAGTTCATTGTCAAAATGCCTCTAGAGAAACGCACTCAAGAAGGCATCATAGCTTCACTATTGCAGTCATCACTGTTCTCTGGGAAGATAACTGAAGACTGTCCTATGGATTCTTACCTACTACTCCTACAAGAGCATCTCATTGAATCACGGCCTCTGAGCTGTGACTGGTTTGTGGCCATGCGAGTCCTGCTCATGCATTCTTCAGACAATCACCCTGACGAGTTCATAGGTGCACTTGGTGAAGTGGTCTGTGCTCGTAAGCCTGATGAGCAGTCAATGCAGGCAGTGTCAGACCTCCTACTTGACCTGCATAAATATTACACCAAAGCTGTTGGTCCTGTAGCGTTTGTGACGCTGCTGATGGAGAGCATTATCCTCAAGAAAGACAAGTTATTGGCCCACACTGATATATTGCCGATTTTTGCTCCCACTGAGAATCAAGGCCTCAAATTGCTGCTGCCACCTCAGTAAGTTGTTAATTTCCAAATTAATGTGATTTCTGTGCTTGGATTATACAAACTACTTTTCCTCAATTGAGCCGCGAATATTGTTACTCATCTAATTATTTATTTAACCGTTATTTGTTCCTTGTGATATTTACAGTGTAAGTGTTTTCAAGAATAGCTTTCATGTTAGACTATGAATTAGTATAATAATTTTTTCTCAGATTAATTTCCATGAAAATTATACGTTTTATAATTATGTACCATGTCCTTGTTTACCTTCATTATGTTTTAATTTAGATTTCTCGCATCATTGGGCGCTACATTGGGCACTGCAGAACCTCTCATGTTTCTCGATATCTTTGCTGCCTTGCAAAACAGTGCCGACAAATTCCTCATACCTTTACTGACGGAAAGTGGTAAGTCAGTTGCAAAGGATCTATCATATTCCATAATACTTATTTGTGGTCCTTCCCCTATTTGATTAATGCTGACATCGGTTATATTTTCTTAGTGATCAACGTCTCGGACAATGCAGAAAAACATTTCCCTGTTCCAAATATTTTCTCTGGAAAAGTTGACACTTCATTTGCCCTCTTGGTAATTATTTTACATTTTGATATGCCCTAGTAACTTTTTCTGGAATTCTAGACATCCCTTCATGAAAATACTAACCTTTTTTTTTCCTCCAGACGACTGCAGCACAGTAAGCCAACGCCGTGCCCTGGCCGTGTGTTGCTGGATACTCAGTGTTCTGTTGTACGAGGCAGACCCAACACGTATCCTTAATGTGCAATCTTTTGCTGAGAAAATGGCCATTAAAGTGGCCGAGTTCATTGAAGTTTTCGATTCTCTCCTGGGCAAGCTCAGCCAACTGAAGTTTGTAAGTGGGAACAAATTTATTACTGGTTAAGTACCGTATATAAAAAGTTCACAACAGTTTTTTACAAATAAGAAACTGAGCTATACAGTTTGCTTAATTACATGAAGTTCTAGACACCAACATAAGTTTTTCTATAATTAGTTAAAAATGAGTTTGCATTAACATTTGATGGCACTGTCAGTTACTTTTTAGCGCATTTTCTCATTTATGGGAAAAAATGAGCTATTGTGCTCGTCGTGTCCGTCCGTCCGTCTGTTTGTCAGTGACGTCACGTGTTCGTCGACGAGAAAATGCGCTCTCTGTCACTCACTGCTGTGAGTATTAAGTTATCTTTTTAGGATGATGTTCATGAAGGGTTTATTTTGTTTTCCATTCCTCAGGACAGCGCGAGTTACATTGGAGTATTGCTGCTGAGTCACGCATTCACCAACTTCTTCTTGCAGCTCCTCAGCAACGACGCGTGAGTTACGAGCTAAAATTGTGCACTGTTTCCAACTTCAATGGCCCCCTGGACCCTTTAAATCTTCGAGCAAATTCAACTTACTTAACTAAACCAACTTACTTAATAACTACTAACTTTGAGCTAAACCAACTTAATTGTTAGGTACTCATTTTACTAATGCCTTGATTGATAAACCCCACCATACACTTTGCCTTATCAATGAGAACGAAATTGAAATATTTTATTCGAATGTACTTTTTTTAAAGGCGCTTCAGGCTTTTTCCTAACAACTGACGTGGTTTATCTAGAAATGAGATCATGAAAATGTAATATCGGCGACTCCATCTGGTATGAGTAGTAATGATCTCAACAATGAAAATAATAAGTTTAATTACATATAACTGCATGGATTAAATATGGTATTTTTTACCCCATTTAACCTTTAAAAATTTAAGAAAATTCGAGAAATTTTTCCCGCCTTTACATGTTATCTGTGACTCCTTTTAACCAATTGTAAAATAATAGATGATTTCTTTTTAAAATTACAAAATGTATTTAAGAAGCAGACTTTCTTAAATATTTCCGATCCCCTGACAGTTTTGTGGAGTTCTGGAAGCCCCGGACGCGTTCTCCATTATCCCTGGTGCCGCACACGGCGCCCGAAGCATGGTCGGTCCTGCAGAGCACCATCGATGTTCACGGAGATTCAGACTCGCGAAGCCTTATGGTGAGCCTTTCAATTAATAAATATCACGAACATGCGGATATTTACCTATTGGATTTTTAACTCAGATTATTTTATTCCTGTTCAACGTATACGATAGTTTCAAATTTTCAATTCTTACATCAAATGACGTAAAAGAATTTGTTTTAAAATTCGTACCAGTTACACAAATCTATGTTAGCGGCATCAGGTGCTCTGATTTTTCGGTAAATGTTAAATAATCACGAAGATATTATTATTATTAGGTAGATGTCATTGTAATAGTTATTAATTAACTATTACAGTTATTAGGTAGCTGTCATTGTAAGGAGAAGATAAGAAACCAGGTTTGAATCATGAATATGCCAATGAATTGATGATTGAATTGTGTGCCACCATGAGTTTCTTGTCGAAACCGAGATCAGAAATGTTGTGTTTGGTCCAAGAATTTGGTGGTTCCGGTAGCTGTTCAGCCTGGTTTGATTGACAGCATTCTCACCTTGAATAAATTTATTAAATTAACATCGTAAAATGTCGGTGGATATTTTAATCAAGTCTGATTTTTCTTGTTTCAGCTGCGCTTAATTCTTCTCAGACTGCAGCATTTGAATGCTGAACGAAAACGAGCTATGGTCTTATCATTGCTATCTGCTGCTGGAGAATCGTCTCTTAAAAATCATCTCGAAGAAGAAGGACTTACGAAGATCTCAGTTGCAGAACTGACAACCGCCATAGCTTCACTGTCTGACGTCGTTCACAAGCACTTCGAGAAATCTAAGGAAGCTCCGAGAATTGTTAAGAACTTGCTTTGTGAAAATCTTATTTCCGGTTTTCATTTACTGAGCAATCGGAAGACTATTGCTAGGTCTGCGCTGTCTGCTTACGTGGCCAATCAAATGCTTCTAAAATATATTCCTCGACTACAAGGAAATATTGCTCTTCTGGTTCCTCACCTCATTTCCGTAGCGTTTGCAAGGCTTACTTCAATAATTAAATCCTCAGAAGACTCGACTGGAGGAAAGAAACGCAAGCGAAGTGTAGGTGCCGAGACTGTTGCGTGCGATGCAGACGACCTCAGTGTTATTCTGAAGGCCACGAGAGCCAGGCTCGATGGGTTTGACAAGCCCGATTACCAAAAGAAAGCTGAACGTGAGGATGCTAAGCTAGCAAAGGCTAGCCTCATGAGTATCGTAGAAGCTCTCAATAAAGGAGTTACTTTACCTCGCATTAACTACTCAGACGGGCATATTGCTGTCAAAATATTTAACCTCATTTTAGACTTTCGGCTCGACTCGCTTGCTGCTAATCAAATCGCCGCCCTCCTTCAAGCATTCATGGCTATTCTATTCCTGTCTGACTTGAGCGATAAGGCTCAGAAGAAGATTACTATACTGCTGCTGCGGTGCATCAATCTCTGCTACGTCTCGAAAACGACTGACGTGACCGTGGTTCCCGCTCGTAGTCTTCCAACTCTTGCCATCGCACTAATCTCGATGCGACACGATTTGTCTTCGATTTTTCTTCAAGTTAAGGAGCCAAAATCTGACGATAATCTGAATGTTAACGAAACTGTAGCCATCAACTTTGACGCGGTTTTCAAGACCGTGTTGAAACAGTTGGTATATTTCAGCAATGTCGAGGACTTGATCTCGCCTGTGACGGATTTCATAGTGAGCAGTGCAATGAAGACCTCAGCGTCTGGCATTGACGGCCGGTATCTGCAAACCGCCTGGGATTTTGTGTCTATTTGCGCCCAGGTACTTGCAGGCTAACTCGAGGTGTCGGGTTTAAATCAAAATTTGGAGTGAGAACGATCAATTTATTTCATTTTTTCTCTATAACCTCACTTGCTTGTCTTTGAAATAAATTCAAGTAGTTGTTGAAATACTTTTTTATCTAATTTTTACTAGTTCAGATTAAATGATGCTTCATTTCACCTGACCTGTTTCAATTTATTCAGGCGACATCTGAAGCTTCTGGACAGCGCATTCGCTACAGCAACGCAGCCATCCGCACGCTCAGCTCATGGTGCTTGAGCGGCTTGAAAAAGTGGAGTCTTGCATCAATATCGGCTAACTCTGCCAACTGCATTCTTCCCATGCTCACCGAGCTGTTGATTCTGGAGTTTGGTCTTAGAAAAACCACAGCCAGCGCTAAGAAAACCCACGCAAATAACGAGTTAGTCGATGGAAAAAATCACCAAGACAAGTTGGAAGCTGGCAGCATGCAATGCTTTGAACATCTTCCTTCTGCATGGGAGCTCGCAGAAAAGTGTCTGATTGACAATGATACCTCCGTTCAAGTGTCTGCTTTACTTTTTATATCTGCTGTGAAATCGGTGCCTGCAGAACTACGTCAGAAATTCACTGATGAAACCATAGCACGTGCCGTGTTTACCTTTTTCCTGAAAGAGTCTCCGGTGCAAGCTCTAGATACAAAAAATATTCACTCCGAAGCTGAAAATAATTACCTACTGGAGCTAACTTCAACCAGCAAACTTCCTCTTGCTGTTTTTCTCTCCGACTGTTCTTTGGACATGTACGGGGAGTTACTAGGCGAGCTCATCAAACGCAGTACGGATTTGTCGTGCTGTCTCTCCGTGCGCACAATTACGCTGTGGCACATGGTCATGCAGACGGATGTGGGTGTGATGGAAAGACGGGTCAAGCGATCTGCTCTCAGGACCCTTGCTCAGATCATCGTCCGGCATCTCAAGTCACCCAACTCTCTCTTCTCGTCTCAAGAAAACCTGGATCAGCTGCCCGGTCTCGCTGGTAATCTTTTTGCTCTATTAAGTCACTTTGGTTCCTTACTGCCCTCAAACCACCTTTCCAGTCTTATTTCTAACACTCTCAACGTTTGACGAAAGAAAAAGAGATTGATGCATTTTGTAACGTTACTGGTAAAATTTACTATGAGAAACGATAATTTATTCCTGTATGTCTCCATCAGACTTCGCCTTATGGTCTCCTCATCATCATTTTCTGAAGAATAGAAATGAGTTTTGCATGACTTGTGTTCAATGTACCGTAATGGTTATCTTGTTCACTAATAATGCTATATTTTTCTATTCAGGCAACGTAATGTTATCAGTGCTGGAGCTGTTCGATTCTATGATGAAAAGCAACGTGTCGCTACCACACCAAGTGGTCATGCATGTCCTGAGCGCCGTCACCGTGTCAACAAGACATCTCAGCCCTGCAAACTTTGCACTCGTGAGACTTCTTCCAGTTCAACAATTATTTCTCTATTATTACTAGATATTTTTGTTCGTGTTTGCCTATATAAATTTAAGAGGGTATGAAGAGTTTCTAACTAATAAAATTTGTAATCTTATTCACTCAGGTATGGAAAAGTCAGGTCTCACTGCTGATGTCGTCTCTGATTTCGCGGACCACGGCGTGGAAGCTTCGAGTCTCCGGCCTGTTGAGCTCCATACAGCTCCTGATACAAGAGCTTGTGTGGCGCAGCCGCGCCGAAATCCATCACTCCGTCGAAAATATTGAGGTATATTATGAAGCTGAACTTAATTATTTCAAACTCTGATTACTATTCATGTCTACCGCGCTGGTAACCTAGACTCTTTTTGTCTATTGAGACTAAATAGAGATAATGTACAGTGTACACTCTGTTGCCGAGTTATATTATTGCTTGCTATTAATAATATTAAACTTAATTGATCTTGTGACCTAAAATTTTCCTTCCTACTGACAACAAAGTTAATCCATTTCGCAAACCTGATTTATTTATTGTTTTAATTATTATTCATGTCTATCTTGTGGGAAACCAAAATCTTTTAATATTTTGTTAGCCCATGCTTATTACTAGGTTTCACTTGACGTATGAATTTTGACACAATTAATTGAGTATTCATTATTTTCTACAGTTGCTTACAAGCTGCGGCCTAAGCCTGGACCAGCTAATTCGTAAGGTAGAGCTTCTAAAGTATGAGCTGTACCCTGTGCTTCATCTCACCGTCGGTGGCGTCCTTGTTATGCTGCAGCAACACAGCATCATCGCTCCTGTCAGGGTGTGTGCTGCACCACGTGTTTCAAGACTAAGTCTAATTGGCTCTATTCCGGCAGTTTGGTTCTTAAATTACATAAAACTTTGTTTTTAAAGCCTTCATGAATTCTTTTCTATGCGTTCATAGAAGTTCTTTTCGTTAAGTTCATAAGTTATTTTCTTAGCGTACTTAACACGTTGACTACGAATTGGTACATATGCGTACCACGAAATGTATTTCTCCAGGACGTAGTGTTACATAATTCAGGTTGCCTAAAATTGGCCAAATCCGAGAACAAAAAAGGCCGATAACTCAAAATATACTAGTTTATTTGCAGGTTCCATTGTAAAAATTCCATTTATTTTCTTTTTGCAGTATTTAAAATTTAATTAGGAAGTACCCCTATCATAAATTTTAGCCGGCCAACGCAATTGAGAAAAACTAAATCACGGAATTTGTCCGGAAAAATGACCGTCTGACAACCCTGTTTAAAAACAGTATAAAAAATGAAATAATAGTACAAGATGAAGCAATCGTAGTCAACGTGTTAAATATAAGTTCTATTCTAAGCGGTCGTAAGAGTATAATTTGAGGATCAAGGTTTCTTATTTCTTGATTTTAAATTGTTTAGTTTGTACTGAAATTTCTGAAATTAATTCTTCGTTTGAGATTTTGGATTCTCAATTTTTACTATTTGCCGTCTCCACAAGTTCACCTGCAAAAGTACGAAATTCTTTTGAATCGACTTATTTAAGAACGACGCAACTAGCTGGAGTGAGATTAAAGAAGTATTCCAATAATTTTTTTTTTTCGTTCATAATTGCCGACAGGAGCTTGCTATTGTTTAGTATTGATTACATTTAGTATTTTTCATTTTTAAAATTTTTAACCCTTGTCAGTATCAATTTGTATCATAGATAAGTATGTGGCTTAATGTTTTGTTCTCTCAGAGTGTGCTGGATAGCCAGATCTACAAGCTACTGAAGATGTGCTGCAGTCTGGGACTGAACCACTTGGCAGTGTCGCTGCCGTCTGAAACGCGTCCTCTACTGAGCCATTACCGCAATAACTTCAACAAGTACTACAATGTCAAGCAACAGATCGAGTAATGCAACATAACTCCTGCTTGCGTTTTATTCATTCCTTGTTGTTGTTGTTCCTTGCGCCAAACGTCACGCTCGCGTGGGCGGAGGCTCTGGTGGTGGTCGGAGGGGTGGCACCGGAAGAGGGGGAAGATGGGCGAAGGCAGGGAGGGTGGCCAGGAACGCCGACGCCTCTACGGGGTTGTCCCACAATGATGAGACGCTGAGAGACGTGGGGAAGGCGGGACAGGCAAAGAGGTGCTGGACGGATTGGAGAGGGTCCCCGCACTCCAGGTAAGCGGCGCTAAGGGAGCGTCCGACCCTGTGGGTGTAGGACGCAAGGGAGCTGCAGTATCCCGAGCGTAGCTGGGATAGCGCTGAGTGGTAAGGACGAGGGAGCGAGGCCTCTTCTGCTGCAATCGGTGGTGGTGGGGTTGTGAGGACAGCGTTGTTAACGGCAGTCGCCGCAACACGGGTGGCTATCTCCCTGCGGAGGGAGCGTTTTGCCTCTCCATAGGCACCGTCGGGCATAATGCCGTCAGCCAGGAAAGACGCCACAAGGTGGCTGAACCTCGTCTTGATTGACGCTTTCATGGGGCGGTCTCCGGGGGGAGCGGAGACGATGTTGAAGGAAGTATGGGTAGGCTGAAGGGCGCTGGCGAGAAATTGAACACATGCCAGGTCCAGGTGGGCGGACAGGGGGAGGACGCCGGTCTCATGGTGGAAATGGGCGATTGGGGCCATCTTGAGGCAGCCGGTGGCTAGTCTCAGGGCTGAGTTTTGGATGATTTGGAGACTTGCAATTGCGGTGAGTGAGGCGACTGGGTACCAAATGGGGGCAGCATAATTGAGGACTGGGCGAGTAAATGTCTGGTATGTGGCAATGATATCTTCCTTGGAGAAGCCCCAGTTTGTGCCGGCCAGGGCTTTTAAGATGCGTAAAGAGCCTGTTGCTTTGGTGGCTATGGCTCTGACATGAGAGAACGTAAAATGGGTATCCCAGGTGACCCCTTGGATTTTGGGGGTTTTGTCTAAGGGGATGATGCCATTGCAGATTGTTGCAGAGGGGTGTAGACGGGATTGGTGAGTGTCGGGGGTGAAGAGCGTGACTGAGGATTTCCCAGGAGCCCGGCCAGTTTCTTGGCGGTCGACCAGTCTGAGACGCCCCGGAGAAGCTCAGAGAGGTCAGCCTCCGCGGCGTCGAGCCTCGGCGACGACACAAAAAATAGTGCCCCCGATCTCTGCCGCGTCTACGTCTTGGGGGTACCCTGGCCTGCGCGTCGGCCGGATACCCGACATTCACGTGGGCCAGGCCAAACGGCAGAGGCCCCCCCCGCCCGGATCGCTACCGGACGGAGGCACCTTCACTTTTTCTGCTAAGGGCAGGGGAACCTCGGCCTCCCCTTCCCCCTACCCACATCTTCGGCCGCCTATCTTCCCTGGGGCTCCTTTTGTCCTTCTCTCCTCCCATCTCTTCTTCCAACTCGTTCTTCTTCTCCTGACCCAGGGTATACACCCCATCCCTGGCCCGCACCCCTGCTCGGTCTGCTCCCTCCCAATCACGTGGCGTGGAGATTCGTTCTGGTGCTCCGGGTGCAGTGCCTGGACCCATAAGCGATGCTCTGGCCTGCGCTACATTAGACTCTACACCGAAGATTGGATCTGATATACAGAATACTGCATTGAGACTAGCCACCGGCTGCCTCAAAATGGCCCCGATCTCCCATCTGCACCAGGAGACCGGCGTCCTCCCTTTGTCCGCGCACCTGGACCTGGCTTGCGCCCAGTTCCTCGCCAGCGCCCTCCAGCCCTCCCATGCCTCATTTCGCATGGTTTCTGCCCCTCTCGGCGACCGCCCTATGAAAGCCTCGATACAGTCGAGGTTCGGCCAACTTGGTAAATGGTATCTTGCCTGCCGGGACATACGGAGAAGCCAAGCGATCTCTCCGCAGGGAGATTACCTCCCGCGTGGCGGTGACTGACGCCATAAACGCCGTACTTACTGCAGCTCCCTGGTGTCTGATTCCGCCAGGATCGGACGCTCCTCTAGCTCCGCCTGCCCGGAGTGCGGGGATCCCCTCCAGTCCGTTCAGCACCTCTTCGCTTGCCCCGCCTTCCCCACGTCTCTCAGCGTCTCCTCACTGTGGGACAACCCCGTGGAGGCAGCGGCTTTCCTAGCCACCCTCTCTGCCTTCGCCCATCTCCCCTCTCTTACGGTGCTGGCCCCCCGCCCACCACCAGAGCCTCCACCCGGCGAGCATGACGGTCGCAACTAACAACAACAACACAAAAATAGTAAGGTCGTCTGCATAAGAGGCGATGTTAGGGGTCGGAACAGGTATGTCCGAGATGAAGTAGTTGAATAGGGCTGGTGAGATGACCGACCCTTGGGGAACTCCAGAATGGATTGTTCTGAAGGGGGACCTTGTTCTCAGAAAGAGGCAGGAAGCCATCCTGCCTCTAAGGTAAAAGCACAGCCAGCGGACCAGATTATGATGTAGGTCTGAGGCCGCGATCATGTTAAGGAGGAGAGGGTGGTCGACACTATCGAAAGCTTGGGGAACTCCAGATGACCGACCCTTGGGGAACTCCAGAATGGATTGTTCTGAAGGGGGACCTTGTTCTCAGATAGAGGCAGGAAGCCATCCTGCCTCTAAGGTAACAGCACAGCCAGCGGACCAGATTATGATGTAGGTCTGAGGCCGCGATCATGCTAAGGAGGAGAGGGTGGTCGACACTATCGAAAGCTTTCGATAGGTCGACCGCAGCTGCCACTGTACGTGCTGGGGGACGGCGTGAATTGAAACCCGTCGCAATCTGGTGCGCGAGCGGGAGGAGAGCGGTGACTGTCGAGTGTCCCGGTTTAAAGCCATGTTGCGAAGAAACCGTGACGAGGGAATCAGAGATGTATGGGAGTATAAGGCGTTCCAGGATCTTGACCGCTGGACAAAGGAGGGAGATGGGGCGGTATGAGGATCCCTGGTTACCAGGTTTACCTGGTTTTAGTAACGGGATAATTATTGAGTTTTTCCATATAGATGAAATGGAGGCCGTGGAGACAGAGATATTAAAGATGTGGGTGAGGAACTTGAGGCCACGTGGGCCAAGGTGTTTGAGGTGGAGGACCATGAGGCTATCCGGACCCCGAGCGGAAGAATTGTTAGCGGCTCTGATGGCGAGTTTCACCATGTTGGGGTGAAAGGGGCGAAGTCCCTGTCCAGGGGGTGCTCAGCCCAAATTCGACGCATAAAACGGCGGGTGGATGGGTTTTGGGAGTGCGGAGCGATGGAGTTGAATAGTTTGCAGAAGGCGGTGGAGATCTTGCGATGTGATGAGAGGGGGGTCTGACCAAATTGGATTGGCTGGTTGGGTGGAGGGTGGCTAAGCTTTCCGGATAGTGAGCGGAGAAGGTTCCAGTGTTTTGACTGGTGAGTTCGCCTGTTGCACGAGAGGGGATACACCAGGGGATAATGATACAGAGAGGGGAATCATTGAGCGGAGTGGAGATGGCTATGGCCTCCATGTTGGCGTCGCCACGCAGGAGGGGAGAAATATCACGCCCGGTGTGCGGGATGTCGTGACGTATCAGGATTAGGAAACCGCCACCGTGGCCACCGGGACGGTCCCTACGCTCCAGCGCGTATCCGGGGAATGAGGGAGGGCGGGAGGCCGCTGATAGCTTCGTCTCCTGGATGCAGGCAATTGCAACATCGTGCTGTGCGAGGAAGGCAGCCAGTTCAACTGCGCTGGATTGGATCCCATTGCAGTAAAACTGGAGGACGCAGAGGCGAGTGGAGGCAAGCACGGGGGGGGGGCGGGGTCTGGGTGGGCTCGGGTCAGGCCGACTGCACGTAGGGAGTAGTCCGCTTAGTAGAGGTGAATGGAGCGAAGGCCGGAGCACCGCTTGTGGCACCAGGCGTTGCACATGGAGCACAAGAACGAGTAACCCTGCTATGTGACCGGGAGGGAGCAGACTGAGCAGGTGTACGGGCCAGGGTTGGGATGGATACCCACAGGAGAAGAAGGACGAATAGGAAGAAAAGATGGGAGGAGAGGAGGGCATAAGATGTCCCAGGAAATATAGGCGGCCAAAAGTGTGGGTAGGGGGAAGGGGAGGCCGAGGTTCCCCTGCCCTTAGCAGAAAAAGTGAAGGTGCCTCCGTCCGGTGGCGATCCGGGCGGGGGGGCCTCTGCCGTTTGGCCTGGCCCACGTGAATACCGGGTATCCGGCCGACGCGCAGGCCAGGGTACCCCCACGACGAAGACGCGGCAGAGATCGGGAGCAAAGTTGGTCTCAATTTGCCAATTCATTCCTTGAATGAATTGTCATTGAGGGGAAATTCATTCCTTGTCATCTTTGGGTAACAGTACGTATTTCTAGTACGTGTTAATTTACTGCCATAATGTATTTTTGGAAAGATCGTGTTCCAAAGGCCGGATCCATTGTGAATCAAGTCACGAAAAGTATAAGAATCGGCAACAGGCCATGGGCCTATTTCTTCTGTGCCGACACTTCTATTATATTAAAAAACGTTACATTTTGATTAGATATTTTTTGCTTCAGGATATTGTTTTGCTTTGCTTTCGTGGCAGGGTGGCCCAGTTGTCAAAGTTCAGAGTACCAAGATTGGAGCAGAGAGGTTCGAGACCACAACAAGCTGTGAATATTCTGCGATGTTAAGAATCGGCGACACTTTCAAAGTTTTCTCAACCAACCTATATATGTGTTGACCAAGTATAATTACAATGCCTACTACATTTAAGAACGCTGAAGTATTCCACGTGAGTATTTTAAAACATTGCAATTTATTCAAGAAGTTGCGTTATGATAGTTAATCCACCATCCTCACTAAATGCTCTTTAAGGATTGGCCGCTAAATAACACATTACGTCACTCTGTAGGACTTTTGAATCGACTTGAAGAAAGTAGTTGAGTGAAATTGAAATAAACGGAAGTTAGTATGAATCCGCCATCGTGCCCCAGACCCCCAGTATGAGTCAACCTGTTTCTGTTTTGTTTCGGTGCGAGTGCAGTGGTGAAA